CTGCACCTGGGTCTGGGTCTGCATCTGTCTGCACCTGGGTCTGGGTCTGTATCTGTCTGCACCTGGGTCTGGGTCTGGGTCTGCATCTGTCTGCGCCTGGGTCCCACCTCACCACAGATCATTCCACCATTTCATCAGTGTGTTCATCACTTCTCATTTGTTCTATCAACAAATAAACCATCCAGTCAATCTTTAACTTTCATGATTTGGGTTTTGGTTGTTTTTTTTATCTTAAAGTCTGAACATCAGCTTTAAGCAGCTGAAAAATGTCTCTACAACTCCTCTTCCAGAAAGTGCCTGACAGCTCAAGTCTCTGTGATTTGTACTACGTGTCAGACCTGCCCTTTTTTCTCCCCCATTCTAGTCCAACTAAAACCCAAAGAACTGGAATTAAAGTAAAGCGATCGTGATCTATCATTCTTTTTTCACCCCTGAATGACAAATTTTTATTCTCAAGATTAATCAAAAAGCACTGAAGACTGTCCGGATGATTAAATTTCTCTTCTGTCTTGAGTTAATTAATTTCCAGTTGGCAGGAAAATAACGGATAGACAATAGAGCGTTCAGTGAGACTTGAATATCGGTGCGATTGTGTTGTACCTGCTCTGGACTGAGGCCAGGGGGGACCCAGGCGTACTCCTCCAGCGCACACCCAGAGTCATCGTCAGAGGTGGAGTTCCTCTGGAAGTCGTACATCAGCTTTGTGATGGTCTTTTCCATCTCCAGAGACATGGCGTCACAACATGCTCCTCTACACAAACCCCTTCAGTAGAAGCAGGTGATCCTGTAAAGAAACACACAGGATGGTAAGTGGGAGACCCCCCCCAACAGATAAAACACTGAAACAACGTGGAAAGATTAAAGAGGTGTATTTCACTCCTGGTTGGCTTCACTGAACCAGATCATTCTGAGACAGTTCCGTCTAATTTGTCCCTCCTTGTCTTCTCTTGCCTCGGTCCTCCTGACCTAAAAATCCCCCCCAGCCAAATATTCTGAAGGACACCTCACCTCTTAATAAGGACGTGGGGGAAAGAGGATCAAGGAGAGGGCAAGCTTCCTCCAGGAAATATGAGTAAGAACACTAAGTCTCACATTTTATTTTAAAATATGATTTTTACAAATCATGCTTTACAGAAATCCCATGAGTCACGTGCAACAAAATCGTGTCACGATTCATGTGTGGCACACGCCGCATGGAACTGGAGTCAGTTTGAAATGAGAACTCAGGAACAAGAATACTCTTCCTCATGTCTGATAAGCTGCGAGGAAGAGTTGAAGAAGTGCATTTTTAAAAATAAATGAGGTAAAGGACCCCGCCTCTCACACAGTGATGGCTGGATGTGGGCACCAGCGACGCCGGCGACCCGAAAAGGAAGAAGCGGGTAAAAGATACTGGATAGATGGATGGAAATGAGTTAAAGGAAAGGTTCTGATCTGCTGAAGTGAGATTCTATGGACAAGAATTCTATGAACAATCAGTATCTCACCTGTTGTAGCTAGATCCTTGAACAACCTCTGTTTGCAGAAACAAGCCCTACTTGCACGGGATTAGTTTTACCTAGGGACCACATGTAATAAAAAAATTACTCCCCAACGTCTGCTTTTTATGTGGCGCATTTGCACGGGCTAACCAAAGCCTGAGATTTAGCTGAAATTTATGGACATCTTCTGGATTTGATGTTAACGCGCTGCACGTTGCACTTGTGTGTTCAAGTTCAAGTGTCAAAAACTGATAAACTCTCAAATCAAAAATTACCTGGACTCATTTAACATCACCTCCCCAACAGTCTGGTTTCAGAAACAACACAGCACAACCACTGCTTCACTGAAGGTTCTTAATGACGTTGTTGACGCACTGGATGCTAAGGATTATTGCGCTGCAGTTTTCTTAGACCTGTCTAAAGCTTTTGACACTGTGGCTCATGATATCTTGTGTCACAAGCTCTTAGAAAATGGTTTCTCAGAACACACCATTGGCTGGCTCTCTAACTATCTTTCAGATCGGAGGCAATGTGTTCAACATAATGGTATTTCCTCCAGTTATTTAACAATCAGCAATGGTGTACCACAAGGCTCAGTCTTAGGACCCACCCTATATACAATCTACATAGGTAATGTAGGTCAGAGCATCCCTGACTCATCCTTACATTTCGATGCTGATGACACAGTTGTTTATTGTCGAACTAAAACATTTGCTAAGGTTTTTCAGTTTTTGCAATCCACCTTTGACATCATCCAGACATATTTGTTCCTCTCAAACTTGCCCTAAAGGCAGACAAACCAAAGGGATGCTTTTTTCAAACAGGAAGCCAGTCCCAGCAGTTCTTCCTCTGATTTTATCCTCAAATGGTGTCCCTATTGAGTTTGTTTATTCCTATAAATATTTGGGTATCTTGATCAACTCACATCTCTTTTAAGCTTCACATGGAAAACCTAGTAAGGAAATTAAAAGTTAAACTGGGTTTCTTTTTCAGAAACAGATCCTGTCTAACTCTGAATGCTAGGAAATGCCTTATAACTGTGACTTCCCTTCCCTCCTTTGATTACGGTGACATTATTTACATGAACGCTCCTACAAGAACCCTGCAGATGTTGGATGCTGCAGATGTTGGATGCTGCAGATGTTGGATGCTGTCTATCATGATGCACTAAGATTCATATCTGGCTGTGATTATCGTACCCACCACTGCACCCTGTGTTCACTGGTTAACTGGACATCATTAACTTCACACAGACTCTCTCACTGGTACATTTTCATCTTTAAATCACTTCTTGGTCTGCTGCCTTCATACATCTCCTCCTACATGTCTCTGTGTGAGTGCAGCTACAGCGTGCGCTCTCAGGACATTATTACCTGCAGTGTTCCCTCAGTGAGGACTGAATTAGGAGAAAGGACCTTCTCCTACTCTGCTCCTGTTTCCTGGAATATCTTTCAAAAAGAACTGAAGCTCTAGACCTTGACCTCTCTAAGTGTCTTTAAACATCTGTTAAGTTCATGGCAAAAACCAATGCAGACATGCTCCTGTTTTTAGTTTTCTACACCGTCTTATAATCTAGCTGTTGTTTTTTTTGCTACTTTTTCTTTTAACTGTCCTTTAAATGTGCTATATAAATAAATGTGACTTGACTTGACTTTTGGTTGATTTTTTGTTTTGATCTATAAAAAATAAAAAAATAAAAAAATAAATGTAAATTTGTATGCCTCTTTTGTGACTGTCTATTGTTGTCGTTGTTGTCCACTGTTGTCATCACTCTTTGTTAAAGAAATCAGGTCTCTCTTGTAAATGAGTCCCTGAGGCTCAATAGGATTAATCTGTCTAAATAAAGTTTGAATGAATGAAAAAATTACGGGTCGATAGGCTTTTGCTGGTCCGGGACACAAAAGGTTATTTATGCACTCCAATGCAGCCAAAAGCAAATAAAAATACACACAGGAAACAAAAAAACTCCTCATTACGTATCGGATCCCGCCCATTTCTGTCCAAATCACAGAGATGCCTATTCGCATTGGATGAGTATTATCACAGGACCTCGGAGTTCAATAAAATATAGTAGGTAATCTGCGGGGGAATTTTTTACTTTACAAACTACTGACATGGCTGATTCACACGGGATTAACAACATAGACAATCTCCATAATTATTACAAA